TAACTGTTAACTGTATTGCATGATACCTAACCAATAGTTCATAAGTTGTAACAGCCAGACAAGTTTGTAAAAGGAACTTGCAGAAATAGTGTTTCTCAACAGGATGTGAGACATAGAGCACCAAGTAGAACTCAATAGTTTCGAATCGACCTTTTGGCTTTTTAGTTGCACCGAGTTGCCGTCCTTCTGTGCCAACGGATCTGTTTTAGTCGAATTGAGTTATGTTATGTATTTTTCCGGTGTTTTAATATTTAATTATCTATGTCTATCGCCGTGAGGACAGATTTTGAAAAGCACTTAACTGTGTAACGATACAAGCCCTCACTTGGATCCTCAAGGTCAAAGGAAAAGAGGAAGGCCAGTGAACATATTACTCCGAGAAATGGAGACAGACATGACAAGAATGAACGAAAACTGAAAAGAGGTGGAAATGGAAGCCTAGGACAAAATATACTGAAAAAACTGGTCGGCGGTCTATGATCGATTGGGGGGTAATGGGGGCAAGTTACTGTATTGCTGGAGAGAATATGCATTTGCATTACTGATACTTTATACAAACGTCGTTCATTTTTAGACATTGTTGTTCGACCCGAACAGTCCAATGATTATTTTTGCCAGAAAACTACTGAATATCTCAACGATTATTGACGTCTGGTAGAATGTTGAATTAACTGCTTTCTATTCTTAGTATGGACTATCCCTAGTTTACTAGAGCCGCGTCTTACAAGAACTCTTTAAAATATGATATGTTGCAAGATGGCTATTATTTTGACACATATAACCCACTACAGATATATTATTTTCCCTCATGGAGAAAATTCGTTGTGTTAAGCAGTAAGACAATTGTAATTTAGTACTCTTTTAATGTATCCACACAATATATAGTATACTATGGAAGAACCGACTGAATCACTATAATTTGGTCTGAAAGTAAAGTTAGCAAACCAAGATTTCTTCTGTTGAACCAAGCTACGTTTTTCTGCTTAGTGAGCAAATAATTTTTGAGTGACTCACATTCATTTATATCAAAACGAGAATCCTGAGCTTAATTAAAACGATTTTAATTCAATAAGGACTACTAATAATATCGAAGTTACAAAACATCTCAAACGATACAGCACGTGTTTTATAGCTAAGGGTTTCTCCTCGTAAAATAGCGTATTAAACAGCAAAAAGAAATTTTTGGTAAATATTTATTCAGTACTCGAAAGTCCATAAGATATTTTTCCACAAGTAGAGATAAAACCTCTACCCATTAATCTATATGCTCGAAACTATAACGAGTTCACCTTACTCGGTAAACGGAGGAAAGATCAAGAATACAGTGACATGATGGGCGATTCTAATTCGTTTGTCTGAGGCCTTGTTAACTAGATCAAGAAGTTGTGAAATGGCATACAGAATGTACCCTAAAAGCACCCACATAATGAGAGTTGTCTAAGCACACAAACCAAGCTTATTTAAACAATAATGAAACGCCTTTGGGAGAGCCACACAATAGCGTACTAAAATAATACATCAACTAATGACAGTCGAGGAGTTCCCAAGAGGGAAACATAAGCTGAAAATCAACTGGCGCGAAAACATGCAAGTTTAAATTTTGAAAAGTAAATTACAAAATTAGAACCTTACCAAGTGAGTTCTGAAGATCTAGCTTCCTCAAGACACCTCTTTTTAGTAGCGTACGCTACTGGAGTCACCTTGCATCTCCTTTAATGTTTGTCGCTGTTGGAGAGGCCACTTTCTGGATCGGTTATCAGCTTGTTGTCGGGCTTTTTCTCATGGTGAGGCTGCCGGTTAGTTGAAGGTATCTTGCAAGATGTTAATGGGAAGATTTACTCCTGCTGATGGGTGATCTGTGGCTAGCCGTTTGCGTATCTGATTACGATGGCGTGACCGTCTATTGCTTCCTACCTCTATTTCTTAGATGACACAGCTAATTCTTCTGACCCCTCGCACTCCTGTCCAGGTGTAGTGAACGAGAACATAGGTGGGGCAACCGAAAATTACAGAGTTACTCAGTAAAATCGGAAAACCATATCGTAAATTGTTAATTTGTTAAATATCAGTTCATCATATCGAACTGGACTGTTCCTGTTGCCAAACATCAATCCATTGTCACTATTCATGCGTCTCATACAAATTCCATTGTTTTCTAACTATTCCTTTCTTGATCTCTTCCCATCTTCCGCTGCCAGACATTGCGTTGACACTCACGTCATATACTACTCATAAGTAGCTCACACCACACAGGGACCACGGTTTGGTCTGTAGTCACGGGCAAATGCGGGACATCCCACTTCATCCGCGGGTTGCTCTCCAGCCTTGTCTTTACTGGTGTAGGTGCATCTGGCTGTGGATTGTTTCCAGTCTTCTTGCCATTAGGATTTCTGCTGGGGACCTTTACCCCGGTAACGTCTCGTTTGATGTTGCTCGGCTGTTGTCCCCTCCCATTTTGGCTTAAACGATGATCTTTTAAACGTATCCGATGAAATTTCCGCTTGCCCATTCGACAGCGGGTGATACGTTGGCGACTATAGGTGACTGATGGCTAGCCTTTGACAGAAAGCTTAGAATGGGGTAGAGGTAAATTGCGACACGCTTTCAGATACAATCACATTTGATATGCCGTTTCGGTAGGAAATCTCAGAGAGGAGCTGTATTGTTTCAGCTGTGCAGCACTACAAGGCTGATTTCTGGCCATTTTGAGGAGGCGTCGATCAAAACTAAACGCATTGTTTCGTCAATCGAGCCTGCCAAGTCGACGTGTATCCTGGGGCTTGAATGATCAGATTGTGATCATGAAACTCTCCATATAAACTTGTCGCTTGTTTACACCGCAGGCATTTTCCAACCACCTCGGTGATATGTTGATCCATTAGGGGTCTGTATATGTAACCCCTGGCTATGGATTTCACTCGTCTAACTCCAAGATCGCACCACATTGCCAACAAGGGGCAGGGAGATCCGTTTTCGTCTGTCGGACTGAGCTGGAGTGGGATGGAATAAGTGTAACAGAGGCACATTTATTATGATGTAGTGCCTCCACATATATTTGAGTTCTCTTATATTTAATTTGGTTAAGCCTTCGATTAATTTATTTAACCAAGCAATTTGTATAGCAACAACTTATGTGGAGGGCTTTAACCTGGTCTTCAGACAAGGACTTCTTCCAGAATCATTTGCATTCAAGTTTGACGATGCCAACATGAGTAAGAAAATCATCGTCTTCGCCCATAATTAGCTTCAAAAATTGATGATGATTATTAAACAATGACGAGCTGTTGCCGAAATGGTTTACGCACTGGACGGTGGCTTAAAAGGCAGAATCAAATCGAACTACTTGTCCAGCTCACTTACTCCCAACTTTCAAAGTAGCAGCCGAATCTTTAAATAATCATCTGGATTGGGAAAATCAAATTTAAATAGGTCTTCATAACGCCTGGACCACATCTCAAAAGTCATATCGGCATCAGGATTATAGTGATGTACTAGGCTGCGTGGGAGGCGAAATCTTGATATCTCTCAACATGTGTATTAATTTCAGCTGCTGCTCAAGTAATTCAAGTTTAGAAAGATCCATGTTTCAAAATACCACCGTCGCTAACTGATTTGCCTGAAACTATTAAGAGTTCACATATCAACAATTTGCAAACATTGCAGAGTTCCTCCTTTGCTCGGCTGACTGTAACTTCTGATAAAATACAGACATTTTCTAAACTGATACCATTGTTGCATCCTACCAACTGACAGTAAATTGATTTTATGCTATTTGAGGTATGAAGCAACCAAAAATTATTGTGGCAGAAGCTCTGACAATTTTTAAACAACTATGATCGCGCCTGGTAACTGAGGCAAATACAGAAACATAACTTACCAACGTAGAAATTAGGAGAGAACAACACTTCATCCATGAAACTGCAAAACATAATTTCAGAACGAACCTTAATCATATTTGTGACATAAAATCAATAACAATCTCTTAAAAGGTATTTTTGGAGCAATGAAGCAACTATTTGAAATATATGCTCACTTAATTATTTCCGTCATTCTCCGCGGAGCATAGACCGCCGATCAGGATTCTCCAATCGCCTTTGTCCTATTCCTTCTTTAGCATATTCATCCTTTTGTTGTCTGTCTTCAACTCTCGGAGCAATGTTTTCTTTGATTCTTAAAGATAATCAAACCTTAGAACCTTCAGGAAAGCTAACTCACTCTACCATGGTGGTGGCGATCAAAACGGCTTTATAAACGTGGTATAAATAGGTACACTTTTAAAAGCCAAAGTACCGAGAATGTCAATAAAGCTATGGACTAGAGGTGATAGGGAAGAGTGGTAAAGTACCAGTGACGGCCTACATATACAGCAGTAACGGCGCACACTTCTTTACTCGCCAATATATATATATATATATATATATATATATATATATATATATATATATGCATGTAAGTGGCATAGACACAAAAATTTTCGGATTAGGGTTCATATAATATGTGTGTCCGTCAATACGTTGCTTAACTGTTTTTATGATCAATTAGTGCCTAGGATCAAGGAATTTTCGGCTCCTTTGCTTCTTTTAGTGGAATAAGATTTCCTTCTAAGCTCATGCTCTCATCTAATATGTTTTTTAATCCTGGGAGTTGGGATATGCTGTACTGTCGTTTCCATAGAAATCATGAAGACAGCTTAGTGTGATTCTAGTTAAATTCTCACTGAAAATCATGCTCGTATGTACTGCATCTACTAGTTCAGAGAAGTTAAAATGATTTAAAAGCCCTGAGTATTATGTATTTATCATTCAAATAAAAGGGGATAAATAAGCTTGATTATATGTAGTCACCAGATTTTCAGTTTATAATAAATATAAAATCAGTAGAGTTCCCAGCGTGATTAAGAGTAAGCTTGAACCTAAATATAGAAGGCTTACACAAGAATAATAATTCCAGAATTTAGTTTGGAAAATTTGATCTGGTTGTTTTATTGCATAAAATTAGACATATTCATATTGGGTTGCTTTTCAAAATCGGTATTCGAAGGTCATGGGTTTGTGTGCGTAAACAGAAGTTTATAATAAACCAGTTCTACTAAAAGTCGAAAAGTGTTTGTAATTTTTCATAGATCCAGTGCTTTTTAGAGATGTCTGTCTATTTTCATTGATTATCATGACTTATTTTTTCATGAGAATGAGACGTTGATCGGTTACATTGAATTGAAGATAGGTAGTCACTGGTGCGACTGTGTTAGGCTACTGTTGTTTTCAGATGAATTAAGAAGAGAGTCCAAAACTAGGCTGAAAATGAATCTCAAACTTGTGGTTTTTTGGTTAAAATCGCCTAAAAGCTCAGTCCGAAATTGCGACAATACTAACTGGTTAATTTGTTTTCAAACCTAGAGACATAGACTTAAATATGCTACCATTAATTTGATTATTTTATTCTGTATGGGTTTTCCTAGTTTGTTTTTACCTTTAGCCTATAAAACAGTGTGTATGACCACTTTTACCCAAATATTTAATCATAATTTTTTAAAGTTGCCTCTCAGACCACTGTTGTACAAAAAAGTGCATTAAGAGCCATGAGTGTTTTAATTGAAATAGAATCCTTGTCATACCGTCAGAATACTATTTCTCTTAGGGCTTTTACTCAAAGTAATAATCTTCAAGTTTATGATTTACATGTTCTGAAACTGCATGGTGAAATCTTGTCAACACACAGAAATAATCTAAGTTTAGATAAGTAAACATAACTATTTACGGCTTTTAGGATCACTCTAATTAAAATAAGGTTGTTTACTCTCCACTTCAACTTCGAACTTATTTCTTAACGGGCATTATGAAATTTTTATCAACCCGTAATAAAGAAGTTTATTTTCTATATGTTACTAACTAAGTATGAAAGTGTTCCCGAGACATACCACTCTTAGTCATACTAAAATCTAACAAGTATGTCAGTTTTTAGAAAATAACTTGTAGATTAAACGATTCACAAAGCATAAACTTTTCAGTTAGCTACTTGTGTAAGCTTATCATCGGGACTTTCAGTTAGGGCTTGTACATTTTTCCTTTGCACTGATAAAGATTGTGGCAGTTGATGTTATCCTTTTTTATAATGGGTTTAAAATGGATTGGGAATGGCTGATTCACTCACTACATTTTTTATTTCTTATGATATAAACTAGTGAACCAATTTTTAGAAGTATTTCTTGTCCTTTCATCTACTGAAAAATATTGCGGATGCTTTACGCGAATTACAGGTCTTGGATCCTGCAATTTGAAAGCGTGATAAGTGGATGGTGATATTTAGTTAGCAGTAGACTTGTAATCAGGAAATATGTAAGTATTTAGTGTGATATGCCTATGGAGCACCAAATCAAACAGTGTAATTACGGTATTTTCTTTTCCTGCCAAAACTTATATTTAAAATTCACTTTTGTGATCAACGCTAATATCTTTTCTATTTTTTATACTTGTTTTTGCTTTTTTAATCAAACCGCTGGCTTACATACGATCGTCTTTCGCATTTGTGGGTAAAATGTTTATCCGAAGACTCATTCTTAGATTTTAAGATACTTTATTCTGTCATAAAATAAATCCGTCGACGAAATTTGTTTTTAAAGCCTGTAACCAAATCCCGTGACACTAATAACAATACTTACTAGTACTATGCATTTATCCTTTTTCATTATTGCTGAAATTCTTATAATTTCACTTATCATCTGTATTTATGTCTTTCTTTAGGTCAGAGACTTGATAGTCTTTGTCAACCGAAATGCAGAAAATGGGTTGGCATTATTATTGGAATATTGGAGCTATTTTGGTTTGGAGGTTATTACTACGGTTTCAATTCCCTAATACCAGCTTGGAAATCACTAGGAGTATCTGCATATAACTGTAGTACTGAAACGAACGCCTGTTTATATAATGACGCTTTGTTTGGAAATGGTTTTGTTGTATGGTTTGTGACACAAAATTGTCTCATTTCATTTGCTGGTATATTCATGGATAAGGTTGGATTGAGAGCTTTAAAGTTGGTGGCTGTATTCATGTATTTTGTTGGAACACTATTGTTTGCCTTTTTAAATGGTGATACAGAGCCACTGTATTATGTTGCCGGTATATTTGTTGCTATAGGGAGTACTTCAAATCTAATATGCAATCAACATATCACTTCAATGTTTCCTAAACGTAGGGGGTTCGGTATATCTCTCCTGTCTGGAGCTTTTGATTCAAGCACACTAATAGCGTTCATACTTTCTGAAACATACACACAACTCTCATTGCAGAAATCTTTCATTATTATTGCAATTGTTTCAATATGTGTTGGTCTATTTATGGGCATATTTATTTTGACCACAAGATCGGATGACATGAGAAAATTTGCAAGCAACTTTAAAGATTCTGTAACACGTGATGAGGACGAAGGTGATCAGGAAAGACTATCACAAGAATGTTTCGAGGATGATAATAAAAACAAGGTAATATTTTTTCGACAACGTGATGAGTTTGATAATTTAGTCAACTTATAGTTCTTAATTCCTATTGTTTGGATGCCAAAGATTGTATAGGACAGTTGTCATCTTGTAAATCCTGAAAAGTACTAGAAATTTATCTTGAACTTAGCCGAAGTAGGATTCTCCGCATCAATTTTGCTCATTATTCAGTTAGATTAATGGAAACAGAAACGGATCATAGTTTGTGAACTAAATGATCTGTCTCTACTTTACTGTAAAGCGGTATTTTTTTAAGTGTTGGTGAAATGTAGAAAAATAATAATGACAACTGTAAATGAATAATGCTTTTTTGAATATTTGTCAAGTTTTATTAATGGTACTTCAATGAATAATTTAATTTTGCTTTCCCAAGGAAAGTTTTATCAACAAACGAAATGTTTGTAATGACTCTTGTTTTGACTGTGGTTGAATGCCTCTTTTGGATTTTGAAAAACAGAAGATTTATTTACAGTGGATGAAAATAAAATAAAATAAATATTTAAAAGTTAAAAATATTTTCAAGTTAAAATTTAAAAATGCACAAAATCTTCTTCTTATAAATGTCCTCAAAATTATTTAACTGAATAATATTGATTGATAATATTACCAATGTAATGTGATGATTACTTGAATTGAACCATATGATTCATGTAGTAAAACTTGTTTAATGCCCACATTGCTATCAATATTACGTTTGCTGGTATTAATCGTTAATGAATTTTCTTATCAGTCTGATCAGCTAAAATACGAAACATGCAACTCTTCAATTCACCAAAGAAACTATTGAGCAAGATTAAAACGTTGTTGTTTGTGATATTTTTATTTTTAGATGGCCATGATATTTTGTTGATGATTATTTATTTTCATTTTTAGTTATCATCAGACAAAGAGTTAAAAATGACTGAAGTATCTAGAAAAATCACCATGATTATCGATCGACGTTATCAATCTATAAAAGATTGCATAATATCTTTACCATTCTTGCTTATTACAATATGGTTTATGCTTGGATTATTTCGGTTTTCAACATTTCTTGGACAATTACAACGTACCATAAATGAATCATTCCCGAACGATATAACAACAATTGATCATTTATTACAAATTTCATCAGCATTTTCAATGTGTGGCTTTTTAGCCGCTCCAATTACCGGTTTCATACTGGATGCATCACAAGCTTATTGTAGACGAAAAATCATGCAAAATACTGATGAGAATATAAATCAACAGCAAAATGCAAATCAAATTTATTATACACATATATTTGGTTTAGCACCTGCTTTACTTGTCATGGCATTTTGTGCTATGTTTGTAAGCTGTTTAATATTTATACCAAATCGTGTGGCTTTTTATTTTGCATTCTTATTTTTTGTTATGCTACGTTCAATATTGTTTAGTGCATCGGTAGGCTTTTGTTTGACTGCTTTTCCTATACGTTACTTTGGCACAGTATGTGGTATATTGAATTCAATTGGCGGTATATTCAGTTTATTACAATATGCATTTCAGTATACAAGTAGTGCAGAAATAGCTAGTATCATTATAACTGTTCTTTCTATTGGATTATTTATACCACCTATAATTTTGTTTAAAAAGAGAGGTTTGTGAAATAAGAAGGGATTTTGGTAGCTAGTATTCTTTAGATTTTTTTTTTTAAATTTGTTATATTCTTAGTATCTTTTAATTTATAATTACACCTAAGTCACTGTATCTTCCTTTTTTTTTTTGAAAAAAAGTCTCATACAATTAAAAACACAAACTTTAGAAGTTTTTCATAGATAATCTCATGAAATTAGATAAACTTCTGAGGCTGTGCTGATTTTGATGCTTTATTTTGTTACTTCTTCATTTTATGTCAGAAGCGAAATTTTAATCACGTTTTTTTGCAGTTTCATACTTTACATTTTCTTTTTGCTTAATTTTTCGGGTGGAAATTACTTTTAAAAAAATTTGAATTAACAGGAGAGATTTTTTTCAACTTAAAAATGGTTTGTATATTGCAGAACGATTTTTTGTACATATATGATGATTTTTTGTCAAATATAACCAGAATTATTTGCATACTTTAGAGTAGTTAGCCGGGTATATCTAATTCTAGTGTTTGTGTTCCTACTAAAAATCAAACTTATCAATTGCCTAGATACAAATATTTTTTTAGAGGTATCCATTGAGATCGTCCCATTTGTTAATAGATCTCGTAGTGTATTATTACTGATATATTTGTCTTATGATAGATAAAGTTGAATTTTAGACTAGAAATAAGGCTAGTGTATTGGAGTTCACTTAGAACACAAACGTATTTATATCACGACTGATGAACATGAGTCACTATACATCTTTAATTTCATTTGAGTCACAAGTGCAGATTAAAAAATGATGCTGAACATTGATATGAGCCATTTAAATAATTTTCTTCATTAGCTTCCCAACGTTTAAATTAGTTAGTGGATAGGAATTACGACAACAAATATGAATCGATCCTTGTAAATCTTTCGAACTCTTGCGGGAGCGTTTTGAAATCCTAATCACTGTCATTTTCAGTCCTGAGACAACTATTATATAATAAGTCCCAGAGATGTACATCATAAAAATTCAGAAATCATTAATCGATTTACTGAAGGTTAAGTTTAAGGCTGAGTTATTCCGAACACAACTACTACTCATTAATTCTCAAAATACCAAACATGTAATCCTTTCATACATGATTAAAGATAAAACTGATCTTTCTATATATAAATTCTATGTACGAACAAGATTTAGTGAGTTGTGTTAATATATATGACGTACGAGTAAACATGCTACACTGTATGATCGACATCATGCTCATCTAGCTATCGTCTATGGTCTGGTTCTATGATTTTCGTTTTAATTTAGCCACCAGTTTGAGTAGATAAATATCAAGTTGCATTTCATTTTAATTGGTGTTATGTAATCGACTAGAAGCCCTAGGCCTGTGTTTTATTAAGTCACCTAAACTTGTGGCCTAGTTTCAACTTGGTTTATTGAATTCGTTTAGTATCAAGGTCAGACAAGTATAACACTAATTAGTACTTAGTGCATAATTAGTGTGAAACATATCACTCAAAATACAAATTTGTCAATGCTAATATTTTTGAAAAAGATAGTAGATGATTTGAGTTTCATCAGTAAAAATAATGTCGGTTCTCTCGACATTATAAATGTAATAAATAAGAGTTGAAACATTAATGGGTAAGTGATAACTCAGTCCTAATTAAACTAGATGTTTCATTTTTATTACAAATGAGAGATTTCGTATTGATAATTTTTCTAAGAGTAGACAAGTTAGATTGGAAATTCAATCTAAAGCCTTGGCATCACTGCTAGTATTATTCTATGTAAATTCAAGTCTAAAAGCTAAAATTTCCTCATATGGGAGAACAACTGACCTCACGGAAAACGTGAATGATTACTCTGTATTTTTCAAACTCTACAATTATTTGTTCAGTATACATTTTATTCAGTCCCATCTGAACTAAAAAGCAGTCCATTAATGAGTAGCTGCAAGTAAGCTTTGTTTCAATCATCAGAAGAAAACTCTTCGAAATTTTATTTGTAATTGACTATCGTATCATAAAAATTCTAATTCTCAAAGCATGAAAACTATCGGCATAAAATATCTTTCATCTTTTATGATTCACAGAGATAAATATTATTTTCAGCCTATGTAGTATTTTGACAATGAATTAGATTATTTTCATCTTTGTCATGTAGCTGAATGTTATATAAGAAATAAAAAAATTAGCGGTTATTTAATTGTTTAAATACTAAAGAATTCTATTATCGAATTATGCATATCAACTTATATTGGAATTATCTTGTCTGTCATCAATTGATCAAGTTATTTCACTAGGTTTGCATAACTGATTTGTCAAGCTAAACCAACTAGCAATAATATGTTTGTTTATATTCAATTGCGTATCAATAAAATAGATTGCCTACGCAAAGTGTTTAATTCATTTTTTTTCTGCAGAAATAAAATAGGCTAATTCAAAAAATAACTATTGAAGCACTGAATATAAATGAAAATTCCTATTACAGATAAATAGGAAACTTTGTCGATGGAATAATTACAATATAAGTAACATTATTGCACATGGTTTAAAACTCGGTAAAAATCGCTTAATATTTTATAGTAGTCTTAAATTTATATCTCAAAGTCATATCAGAAGGCATTAGGTTTAAATGTGTAAGCAATAAATACTATGAATCATCTTTCAGATACAGATTTAAGTACTAGACTTTGAGATACATTGTTTATGTGAGATCTCATAATACTGGCTTGTTGCCCGAACCGAGCTAGTTGGAGCACGGTTCTAGC